CATACCCGATAGACAACACTGCCATGTGCGAAGCCCGTATCATGAAAACATTCCGAAAAGTACCAGAAAACTGTCAGAGTGCCCTCATACTCAGTCAAGGATATAAAGTCCAGAAACTAGCCGAAAACTATTGGTTAGCGATTCTGTCAGAACCGATACAGATAACAATAAATTGCCCCAAGAAGAGACCAGAGACCAGAATCCTTCACAAGAACTCTCTAATCAGCCTCAAAAATGATTGCAGTGCCTTCATTGGAATCACCAAAATTCAAGCTACCTCGACGAAAACTCTGAATATTTCGTTCGGGACCTATCCAGTCGAAATCCCGTACGAATGTTGTAATGACCTTCCGGAACAAGCTGACCTGCCGAATTTAAAACCACTTAAATTGAGCGATTTGAATGTCGATGACCTAGACATCGCCAAACATAAGTTAGAATCCTATTCCAAGACGTTGGACGACCTAATCAATCAGCCATTTGTGGACAAAAACATATCCTGGTTCACGTATTTCACTATAGCCCTCATCGCAATCCTAATTCTTCTATACATATTCTGTAATTGTAGAAGAATGAGAAGACTAGCAATAAATGGTCCATCCGATGCACCATCACCTCCGCCTAGAGGAAGTAAGGCCATGAGAAGTATTCGAGCCATGTTTCCAAGAAGGCGACCCAATTTGGGAGCCCAGACCAGTACAGAAGAAGAGCAAGAAGATGCCTTCATCGAACCCGGCGCCTAGGTTGGCACTTCCAAAAAGTTGTCGATGTAGAGCAACAACTTTTTCAAAAGGATGGGAGCTGTTATATGAATATTCCCATCATATACCAGGAATACTTGTGCAAGTACCATCTCAGGAGTTTCACATTACTGATGACTTCAAGGCCAAGTAGTAACCGAAGACACACACGTGTCTGCTGACTCGACATCCTCAGAACTTAGATGCTACATCGTTGCACTGCGAAGAATCAGTTCTACTCAAACCAAGCTCTCGTCAACATCTAATTATTCATTGTATTAATTCCATTCAAATTGTAGCTCATTCAAATAAATTGTTTTTAAAAAGTCTTTAGTGCTTCAAGTGATTTAACATGGATATAAAATACCTCTGATAAGTGTACCTTACCAGACGGAAACACCTAAACTAAAATTATCTCACTCTGAACAAAAGTTATTGTTCGAGGCCATCAAGGAACTTTCAGATATTGGAGTTGTCGAAAAATACAAGCCCGTAGAAGGACAATTCATCTCAAAAATATTTCTTGCTGACAAACCAAACGATAAGAAAAGATTCATTCTAAATTTGAAAAATTTTAATGAATACGTTAGTAACCTCCATTTCAAGATGGAGGACTGCAGAACAGTCTTGAAACTGATCCAAAAATATAATTTTATGGCCACAATCGATTTGAAGGACGCATACTACCTTATATCCATAGACCCCTCACACAGAAAATAGTTGAGATTTCATTTCAACAGAAACCAATACGAATTCACATCTTTGCCGTATGGTTTGTCGTCGGCGCCTTATTGTTTCGCAAAAATCATGAAACCAATCTTGGAAAGATTACGTTCCCAAGGAACCATTTGTGTTAACTACCTTGATGATTTCTTGATTATTGGCGACTCATGCGACAACTGCAAGGAAAGCCTTCACACTACAATTAAAATTCTAGAATCCTTGGGATTCATCATTAATTGGGAGACGAGTTCTATATTGCCCCAAAAATGTAAAAAGTTTCTTATACGACAGCCAAACATTACGAATTGAGCTACCAACCGACAAAAAGCAACGCATTAAACAGCTGGCAATGCAATTCAGGAAAAAACCTCGTTGCAAGATCAGGGACCTTGCGAGATTCATCGGTATACTAACCTCGGTTTGCCCAGCTGTAAAATACGGTTCGTTGTACACCAAACGATTAGAAAGAGCAAAATGTTTAGCTTTGGTCAACAACGAAGACAACTATGATGCCACTATGTCACTAACATCAGACTCAATAGGAGATCTAGTTTGGTGGGAGCAAAACATTTAAAACTCATTCAATGGCATCAAAAACGACAACTTCACTCTGGAAATTTATACTGACAGTTCACTCACAGGGTGGGGAGCTTGCTCCAACGGAGAACTAACCCACGGTTTTTGGACTGAACAGGATAAGAAAAATCATATAAATTACCTTGAACTTCTCGCAATTTTGAAGGGGTTGAAATGTTATGCTCGAGATAAATATAACTGCAATATCTTGATCAGGGCAGATAACACGACCGCTGTATCGTATATCAATAGAATGGGAAGTATACAGTTCTCCAAATTATACATTCTAGCAAGGGAAATTTGGCAATGGTGCGAAATTCGTAACGTCTGGCTTTTCGCATCATATATCAATACCAAAAACAATATTGAGGCTGACAAAGAGTCCCGCATAATAGATAAGGACACAGAGTGGTCCTTGTCAAACGATGCGTTCAACATTATCACAAACAAACTAGGAAACCCTGATGTAGACCTTTTCGCGTCCAGCATTAATACAAAATGCTCGAAATATGTTTCTTGGCGCAAAGATCCAGGTTCCATAGCAGTAGATGCTTTTACTTTGAATTGGAGAGATTTAAAATTTTATGCGTTCCCACCTTTTTGCCTTATCCTTAGAACTATTCAAAAAATCGTCCAAGACAAGGCAGAAGGAATAATTTTGATACCAGACTGGCCAACCCAGCCTTGGTATCCGTTAATAGCAAAGTATAAGAGGGGACACAAATTTGTCTACCTCCTGATAAAAAATTACTATCATCTCCTTTCAGGACGGTTCACCCACTACACGAGACCCTTTCCCTGGTGGCCGTGAGATTATCCGGAAAGGGTTCATTGCTAGAGGACCTTCAGAATCCGCAGCCAGCACAATGTTATCTTCAATCTCCGAGTCAACCTTAAAACAATATACAATAACCTACCGAATGTGGTGGGACTACTGTCTAGTAAAAAATCGACCCGTCTTCGATGCCTCTTCAACGGATTTGATCCATTTCTTGCAACATCTGCTTTCACAGAAAAATCGAAGATACGGCTCATTTAACAGCCATAGATCATCTCTCTCTCTGATTCTACCAAACGAGGGATCAGATACATTGGTGAACAGGTTCCTGAAAGCCATAGCTCGTGAACGACCACCGAAACCAAAATATAATAATACCTGGGATCCCGATCATGTCCTCAAACACCACGAGAGCCTTAACGACGGAAACAAACGAAACAAAAATAATTGAATAAATATGTATTTCAACAATGAGAGATATAAAAATGAATATAACGAACTGAATAACAAAATACCCAGAACAACGATATATGAATGAAAAAATGAAAAAAAAAACACGTTGAATCCTTATACAAAAATGATCAACATAACAAAATTAAAAAAAAATTGATAGATATCACAAAATGAAATACACTAATAACAAAAAATATATATACATCATCTGAACCACAAACTAAAAATTGAAATCTGAACTATATCTCATCCTGAAAATTTAGTGATTTTTCTTTTATATATTTTTTTTTAATTTGCAGTAATTGTTCAACAAAATATTTGAAATGGTTTTAGAGAATGTTCTGCTGATTCCATCAAAAGATCCACAACTGCAACATTGATTCTCGGAATAATTGAGGAGGGAATTGATTTTAATGTCTACTAAATTCTCCAAAACTTTATGTTGTGACTTACATTGTAGAAATATTGTTTCGAATTTTTCAGACACCAATATTAGTTGGTCTGAACCATACGCCTTTCAAAAATGAGTAATAAAAAGTATATCGCGCCCTTTACCCGTCCAAGGAATTACCGCGAAATCGTAATACAGCGAAATTTGGGTAGGTAGGTATAATGGCCCATTTTTTACGCGTTCTTTATACTCAATTTCTTTCGGACTTCGGACCTTCACTATTCTATTGATTCATTATCGTAGTTTGATATATTGAGTTAGTTTCATCTTATTCCAATTCCAAATTTGCAAAAAATAGTATTCTGTAGTACAACGTCCTGATTTTCAATAAAATGGAATTTCGTTACAACGCCATAACTCGGTATTGATTCATCCTATTGGATTCATTTTTTCACCAAAAGTTGAGGAATTTGTTGGGGATCATTTCGTCTCGATTGAGTGTGCTTCTAAAATTGATAGTAAATGAGCTATAGCCTATAAATTATGAACGCACCAGTACGGACTGATGTGAAATCTCAACCTACTAGTGTGACGTCAGCATCGAGAGAGAGGGGATAGACTACGGCCCGGTGAGATAGAGTAGGCCCTGTATCAACTCTTTAGATTCTATCGAGGGTGAATCGAAAAAGCGAGAATTCTTGAATTTTCAACTGAATAACTTACACTGTATATGCGTTCAAATTTCGTATGGAGGTATTTCATCTATGCCTAAATCGAATAGGGTAGTCACTGTTTCGAAAACATATTGCCTAAGTAGTTTTTGAAATTTTGACCCCTTCAACAAACAAAAGTTGGCCTTGAAAATCTGAATATTTCAGATTAGTCCACATTTTCGAAAAGAACTCGTTGAGAACTATATAATGGATTCTTAGTTTTTGAAAATCGGTAGACGAGTTCCAAATTAGGAGGGTGTTGCGAGTTGAAATCACACACACTGTATATACGATACGGCTTATGTACTGCATGTATTCAGTACAATTGGAAGTGCATTATTTTTATGTGGTTATGCTATTATTCGTTGTTGGGAAACATCTGAGATATGGTGCTTGTCGGCGTTGATCAAGCAAGCGTTTTTAAATGTGCTGACTTGAATTATTAAATGGGTATATATAGATTTTCAATGAAGAATAATTGTATAAAATTCTAATAATACATGAACATATCAATTTAAAATAGGTATGTGACGTTAATTCAACAGGTGAAATCCCAAAAATGCCCTTATAAATTCTTCGATATCAAGTCCATAACACAAACATAACATAATTGAAAATGAACTCACCGATACACTGGTTCTTTTCCTCAAGACTGTCGTGAAGGCCTCCCTAGTTGATTTCAACAGGAATGGTGTTCTTCCAAAAAGTAATTCGTACATAACTACGCCAGCTGAGTACAGGTCAGCAGTCAGGTCAGCAGGAAATCCTAAGTGTATTTCAGGGGCCATGTAATAAAAAGATCCCATTTTTTTCACACATGGAACTGGATCCACTAGTACCTCAGCCAAACTGAAAAATATAGGTGATTCATCAATCATGAAAGGTGCAGCCACTGCAATCATAAGCGGTGTCCCCCAGGGTTCTATCCTCTGGGTCCACTTCTTTTTTCGATTTGTCATCTTTTCAGGAATGTTTGAAGAATTGTAGAAATAATTTTTACGTAGATGCAATAAAATAATAAACAATGACCTACAAGCTTTATACCGAGTGTCAGAAGAGTATCGCTTATAAATGAATCCTAGTGAGTCACAACTAATGCTGGCCGAAAATCTACAAGAATATGAAAAATCTGTTGATATTTACATAAACACAGAACCCTTGAGTTCAATTCCCAGTACAGAAAATTTAGGTCTATACCTGGATGATCAGGTGAAATTTGAGAAACAAATAATAAAGAGATCAGACACAAATATAAAACTCATATATAAAAATAGACATATAATGATAATAATTTATTCACATATAAATCCAATAAAAGAATTCAGTTAATGCATGGTGAAAATGATAATAACAGCAGAACTTCATGAATTCAATATTGAACACTAAGTTTACATATAGTTAATAGATTTTATCATTTCCACATCTTGAAGAATATTTCACTTTTTTATCAGTCGTGTTATTCATGTATTGGAGGTGCTAAGACTTCGCAATTGAATATCTCAATGGTGAATGACTTGAATTACCTACTGTAAATTCTTAATGGAAATATAGAAAATTTGGCTAAAATGTTGATGATAAAAAATAGCAATAATAATAACAACAGTAATACCAATAATAAAAACAATAATAATATATTTCATTCACATATTTGGCTGAGGATTTAATTTATACTGTTCTGTTCATCATTTTGTAAAATAAGAGGATTGAGATAATCTTCTTCATTTCAATAGGAATTAAATTATAAAGTTCAGGACCAAAGTAAGGGTAGCTTCTTTGCATTACATTTTTCAGCCCTTGACATATAGAAAGGATTTTCCCTGAATCTATATGTTTCTTATTGTTTTGTCTCATGAGAATGTTTTTACAGAATGATTGACGAACGTCCATTATTTGGGTTTCAGTGAAAAGTGTTTGACTTCCATATCTCCAAAGTTTTTTATATAATTTTTTCAACAAACGTCTGTACTATTTCTAGGCTGAGAAAATGTGTGTTTGGTGCTCCACCCCATGCTATGTGTTATGAATCATCAACTATTTCTTAAAATCAATAAAATCTTTACCTACTCAGCAAGTTGCTTAATATGTATTCATGTCAATATAGGAAGATGGTGCGGCACGGCGACGCATTATATTAACCCAATAAATTATTAGTATAGGGTTTCTGCAGCAGTGACATTTATTTTGTTTAGGTTACTGAAATCTAGATGAGATATTGATATTATTTTGTAGGTTCAACCACGTTCAGGTCAATTCATTCATTCGCCGACCGCCATCAAGTAAACGTAAATTGTTTCACCGAAATATAATTGCAAAATGTATCTTTCCTCGTTTTTTTTTCAAAATCGTCGTAACAAATCAGGAGTGCGGGATAACCTACGTGTTGAAGATGAGTGATAACGAATCTCACCACGCAGGTGAACAAAATACTGACGAAAACTATGAACAACGGGAAAGTCGCGAACACGTGAAGCAAAACAGAGAAAGTGCGAAAGTTCGACTAGCACGTCTAGCAATAGTGACAGTGAGTCCTACGGGCCTCACAAATCGGAAAAAAAGAGAATTGAATATATAATTGCTAAAGAAGTGCAAACTTTTATCGGACAAATGCAAATTCCGGTCAATATCACGCCTTCAACTGAGGTAGTTCCGCAGCGATCGACGCGAAGTTCGGACTTTTTTTTTTCAATGCGAGTTGGTGCCGAATATGATCCGGAAGCTGACGATATAAACGCCATTACGTGGCTTGATAAAATTGAGCAGTTAGCTTCAATATCAATCAATAATAATTCGCGTGCTTTCCAAATCGATTTGCCAAAAAAATTACTCTGAAATATCACAAATGAAATCTGTTCTTTAGATATGGCAAAAATAAAAATGAACGAAAATGCGTTAAGCAAAATAGAACAGTCACGCTTCTTCAAGCTTTTGTCGAATTATGAACTGTTTCACCAAAAACACGTCTGCATGAATTAGGCGTTCCAGATTTAATTGATTTCGAAATAAATGTAGAAAAACAAAAACTTATTATTTTATCGCCAATATCGGTATCGGTATCGGAGTTTGACAAAGCCGTTATGAGATCAATATTTCAAGATCTCCTCGATAATAATGAAATAAGACCTTCAAATTCTGCTTTTGCTAGCCCTGCTGTTCTTATAAAAAAGAAAAATGGGGATCATCGCCTATGTGGCGATTATCGTAAATTGAATTCTCGAACAATTAAGGATAGATACCCTTTAAATCATATAGATACCAAATAAATTGTCTGAGAGGGGAACATTATTTGACAAGTCTTGATCTGACTCAGGACTATAATCGAATCAAATGTCACCAGATTCTATAAGCAAAACTGCATTTGTGACGCAGGATGGACAATTTGAGTTTTTGCGAATGCCATTTGGCGTCTCTAACGCACCAATATCATTTCAGCGACTACTAAATAATAGTCTTTTTTCTGTGACGGGAAAAAAGTTTGGCATTTCATCTCTGTTGGCAGGTTATAAAATGTCACTTTTCATAAATTACTTTTTTCCCGTGGGAAAAAAGTGAGCACTTCTTTCCCGGATATATATCACATATATATACTCCGTTAATGGCTTTTGTTGTGCTATATAGTTCCGAAAAATGAGTCAATAATACCGTCTCCGAGAAAGAACTGCAAGTCCTTTCATCTTCCATTCGACTTCGCGGTTTCGTATATTACTAAACAACTACTGAATTCGCAATTTTTCAAAATCAAATCACAGAATTGAACTGACAGAAGTGACATCAGATATTTGATAACTTCAAAAGAATGATAAAGATGTCTATAAAACGCAGGTGTCCCTACTGTTAAAAACTTGAAATTTCACGTCGATAATTTTCAGATTTCGAAATAATGTAATATCTCCTCAATATTGATTCGTCCTTCCTTCTGCCACAGAAAAAAATAGTGTATTATACACGGGAAAAATATTAGATTTTAGCTCACGGTTTTTTGTCTCCCTCCGCTACGCGTCGGGAGACAACACAACCTGGAGCTAAAATCTACTACTTTTTTCCCTTGTATAATAAATAACTATTTCGCTAAATTAAAAGATCAAATAAGCCTATATTTGGATGACATTTTGATTTCCCTTGATACAATTGAAAATGTTATCGACACTTTGAAAAGTGTTGGAAATTTTGAAAAATGCGAATTTGACATTAAAAAAAGAGAATAAAAAACGGTCAACAAAAAATAAACGCTGTAGAAAATTTACCAAAATAAAAAACATTGCATCAATTGCGACAGTTTTTGAGATTAGGTTCATATTTTAGGAAATTCATTAAAAGTCATGCTATGATTGTTCCTTCTTTAAGCAATTTATTAAAACAAGATGTTTCTTGGACTTGGTCAAAAGATCAAGAACATGCTTCCAACAAAATTTTAAAATTATTGACTTTTAGACAATTCTTAGTATATAAGATCCAAGTTTAGAAACGGAACTTCACAGATGCCAGTTCATCTGGAAGTGCAGGAATTTTATTACAAAATCATGGGAAAGTTGTGGAACCAATCATGTATTGTAGTAAAGCTACCAGCAGAGAGAGAGAGTCAATAAAAATGTTCAATATTTTTTAAACAGGAATTCACTTCACAGTTGTAACTGATTGTGCTGCAGTACGATTTACTAAAGGTGACTTACTGCCTCGTATAGCTCGATGGTGGTTAAATATTCAGGATTTCGATTTTGAATTAAAACATCGTCCTGGAAATAAAATGCTTTATTTCGACGTTCTCAGTGGCAACATACCCACAACAAACACTTCAATTATTGGAACAGATGATTGGTCTTTAAACATTGAATTGCAAGATCTTGCACTAAACCTAATTTGTAAAAATTCAAATCTGACGATTGTGACCAACAAACAAAAAACACCTATCTCATAATAGATCACAGACCTTATAGGAAAACTGCTGACCATAAAGAGAAACTTGTTATTCCAAAATCCGCAAGTTTTAATATTCTCAGAAAATATCATGATGATGTTGGCCATTTAGGCTATAAAAAATGTGAGTCAGTAATTGAAAGAAAATGTTGGTTCCAAGGTATGACAAAATTCATAAAAACATGTGTTAATGCGTGTTTAGAATGTGAATATAAACGTGGTCAATATGGAGGGATGGAGTAGGGTTTTCTCTTTCCAATTGACAAACCCGCTCAGCCTTTACACACATGGCATATTGATCATCTTGGTCCATACCCAGGTAGCACAGGTTAGTGGAATGACGTCATAATGACGTCTTTTTAAGGTCATTATTGGTCAATGACGTCCTCGACTTCAGAGGGACCTAAAAATGACGTCATATTTCATGACGTCTTATTGACGTTTAATATTGGACGTCTTAATGACGTCCCAACAAAGTCGTATATTCGACGAAAATATAAAAAATCAGTCGCTTTCTTACTTTTTTATCGTTTGTTAATCGTACGTACTGAATTTGTGTTTGTATATACAGTGTTTTCGTGATTACTGATTAACAAATTTATTTTCAGCCAAATTATGCATTTTTGAGGAATCTGCTGAAAACGGTCGATTTTCATTTTCAATTTGCCATATATTTATGAGAAAAATTGAATAAACATACATGGTGATCCACGTTTGAGTTATGACCATAACGACATTTTTTTCAAATAGACCTTATATATATTACTCAATCTTTGTAATAACCCTGGGAAGCAGAATTCGAAAATGTTTAACACAATCATGTGGATTGTATAGGTAAGTGCATCCTATAAATTAGATGCTCTCGTGAAGTAGTCGATAAATTCATTATTATCCAATATCTATCTATCTTTTATATTTCTGAGAAAACAGGAGAGGCT